CCTGTAGCAGGTATCTGCAGCAGGCTGGCTCTTTGTTACCCTCTGCTCTTCCCTCCCTAGGTGCTCCGAAGGTACGAATCGATAGGTCTGTCTGTGTTTCGGTGGAAAGCAGCTCCGGGAGAGACCCGCTGCTTAATTCTGCTCGTGCTGCGGAGTTTTCCCGTAGCAGAGGTGCAGCGCGGCTGGCTGGCTGCCTGGCATCCCTTCCAGGGATGTCATGTGTAAAAGGTCAGGGGATGCTTCCTGAGCTCACTGCACCTGGTTCGAGAATAGCAATTACAATTTAAATTACTTTTTTTTTTTTAAATGGTGTCTTCCTTGTCAGTTTAACGAATTCTGAAGTGGGGGGTTATGCTGTGTATATAGGGACAAGGAAAATGTACAGACAAGAAATTGAGAATCATCTCTGACTATTTTTAATTGCAGTTTTCTTAACATCTGCTTCCTTTCCACAGTTTGCTTATGGATGCACTAAAACCTAGGATCAAACTTCAAAAGGCTTACTAGAAAGATATGTGCCTGTGTTTGTAAAGTTGTTACGTTGTTTTGTTTATTTTTTTAAAGAAATCCTCTATTTTGCATACAAAACAAGGTTGTAGCCATAGGCAGCTTCTCTCTTCATATTGCACAAAAATTATTAATTGTTCGATTTATGGATGCTATGGCAACCTTGAACACCGTTAAAGTATTGAACAGGTTTTTAGTTATTTTAAATTAGCACATTGTATTAAAGTGTAAACAGCGTCCTTCTGTCACCCGCTCCAAGCAAAGACGGGTTAGAGGTGAGGATATAACACTGTTCCCCTACAGTCTAATATACAATTATAAAAAAACAGCGACATACCTAGCAGAATATTTTTTTTATAAAAGCAGTACTGTCTTTATGTAAAGAGTAGTTAATTTAAAGCAAAACACATTGCTTCCAGAAATACTTAATTGTTTTGTCACCGTTTCTGTATTCTTGTTGCATTTATTTATTTATTACAACCTGAGTAGGCAGAGCATTGCTTTGTGTTCAATGCTAGCTAGTGAGACAGAGTCACTAAGGAAGATATATCCTAAAACATTTAATTTTGTTAACATCAAACTTTAACTGTTCTTAGGAAATGCTCACTACTTAAAAGCACTAAGTATCATGAAGTTATTCTCTGGCAAAATATTAGCCAAAGTGATTGAATGAAGGTGTTTTAAAATATGATATTCTTGCATTTTGTTTTACAACTGCGAGTGCGTTTTGAGGACTCTGTTGAGGAGTTGAAGCCTAGAGTATTTTAACAGAAAACTTCCTGTTCCTGGTACTTTCCATTCTGTAGTTATCTAGGACTTAATCTGGGATATTGAGGTGCCTCTTCTTAGATCTGTCGAAAATGACCCATAGGAAATGCCATCTGATGAATCAGTTTCATGTTTGCCTCTAGAGTACTTTTGTTCTGCTAATCACCAAATCTTAAAAAATCTGAGCAGAAGAAATAAAGGGAATTAAGAGTGATGACAACTAATCAAAGGAGGAAGTATGAGGACTGGTGAGAGAGGGAATTGCCTTGCAGAAATGTAGTAGAATAATATAGAAATAGTAAGTTGGGCATTATTACTTACATTTCTGTGTAATACAAGACCATAATCCAGCAAAAGCCAACTTATATGACTGATTAAGGTGATACATTTTTATGTAACTATTGATACACAAAATTTCTTCCTGAGATGGCATTAAACAAGATTGTAATAGGATTCAGGAAGGGAATGGAAGTGTATATAATTGAGAGAATACCCCACACTAATTCAGAAAAAAAGTATATGAGCCCTCATTTCAGGGCATAGTCCAGTTATAGACTGTTACGGAATGAGTAATTTCTTGGGCATATATATATATTTATGTGTATGTAGATACATATGTATCCACGCACACAAGCATACAAACACTTCCCCTAGTTTCCTCTTTTTGGATTTACACCATGTGGGAGCTCTGATGGTGTTCACCATCAGAAACTAGATGGTGGCTTAGGTACGACTGCTAGTATTAGCAGATGCTGAAGTTCCTGTTTGATAAATATTTCCAATGGAAGCTTTTGACCACAGACACAGATCTTTCTCCATACCCTAAAACCTTTTAAAGGAAGAAAATATTCAAGATGATCTCTTATTCTGATAGCCTCACAAAAGAAAGAGAAAAGAAATGAAATAGGTTTTTTTTTTTTCCTAGAATGACCTTGTGGTTGGGAAGTGTCTTGGATTCCTTCCAGGTAGCTTGTAAATGTTTTCCAAGTAGTCCAAAATATTTATGGTAGTCCCCAATGCGGTCTTGCAGGTGGCCCCTTGTGCTGACTTGCATGTTGTCATTTCTTTGAATGAAAAAGTTAGAGAGATCCAGACTGCAAAATGTATTCTTTTCCTAAAAACAGCATTTCTGGTTTTGTCACCTATTATTAAAAGATTTGGTATCACCACAGGAGGGTTTGGATGTATAAGGTAACCAGGACTGTGGTAGAACCTAGAATACTTTCCCACAGATACTCTGGATCTCAAAAGAGTTAAAGAACTACTTTGATATAAACCTACTTCAAGAAAAGGATGATCTAATGCTTCATCTCAGCTGAAAACTTCTCTCGCTCTACCAGCAAATTGTCTGAGACTTTTTTGGAGAAGAAAGAGCATTACTGACAGGAAGCAAGAAAAGGATCAAGGAAGGTCGGTCGCCGTAGAGAAAAGGACCTAGGCTATCGTTTTTGCCTCCCAAGGCTCCATACTGATATTATCAAATGGCAACAAGTTCCTTTTTCTGTTCTGCTGTGAAGTGGTACACTGTCCTTGTCCTCAGCATCTGGTATTAGCACTAAGTATATCCAATATTTGTGGGGATTAATTTTACACTAGTGTAAACTTAGTTGACTACAAGTGGACTTCTAGATCAACATTAAACTTGCATCTCTGGAGACCCTCCTAGGATCGCTATAGCAGTAACAGAACTCAGGCCTTGCAAACCTTCCTGGAAGGTGTTTCCGTACTCTTTTTCCCTCTAGATAATTACAATGAATAGACTTGCATGAGCCTCATGGAAAAGTGTAACTTTTTTTTTTCTTTTGGTTCTGCATTTCACTTTTCCGGCCTCAACTATCTGCTCAGAGAAGCTGGAAAGTTTTGGTGCAGTATCAAATTGTCTTGATAGTCACAGTGCTGGACAGGTCCTCACTATTCCATGTGTGTCAAATTAAGCTGAAGGAGCTAGCTTGTCTTTGTAGACCTGCAAGTGATACTGGAAAGAGACTGACGGACTTTTTGCCATCAGAGGAACCCTGGGACAATATGTTGTCATCCTTTCCCGGAGCTGGCTGCTACTGAACTGATAGTTCCCATCACAGTGCTGTGGAATATCGGATTTATCAACTAAATTACTGGAGTTAAATGAAATTAGAGATCATCCCTTTGCTATCAAATCCCATTACTTTCCTTAAGATGGCTTAAGAATTGAAGTGTGAGCAGGATCTACCAGAAAAGAAAGCATAGAGCTGGAGACGTAGAGAAAGGAGAGATGACTTAAATGAATTGCTGTTATCTTTTAGGCAGAAAGGAAGGATGCTAATGAGTTGGACATTCTAAAAGAAACTTTAATTATGCTGAGTGCGCATACTTCTTCAGACAGCATTCAAGCATGCTGTCAACTTTAATGTCTGTCAGAGAATGTTTAATGTAAACGGATGCTTTGTACAGCACTCAGTCATCATCTGGTTCTTCTTTGGTTACACTCATACTGACACTCATTGTCTCGTTACTGGTAGGAAGTTAAGCATTACATTTCACTGTTCCTGGAAAGGGGACATTCCCTATTAGAGAGATGAAACCTTTGGATCCATGCAGCCATGTATATGGGCTATTTTTCCATTTATAATGTTCAGAGGAAACGAAGGCTCGTAGAGTGTCAAAGAGGGCAGAATCTATGATCTTGACCTGGTACAAGTATCGCATGTAGAAGTGAAAATTTTGACATTGCCTCCCCTCCCCTCTCTCCTCCACCTTCTCTGGGAAGCAACGCTAATTCTATATTTTCATTGTGTGCTTTTTCTATGTACTTCTGAAGTTGTTAGAGTAAATGTGACTTCTCAGTAATGTAACAGTCTTAATTTGTAGAACTTTGCTTGGGGCAAGAAAGGAAGGAGGAGGAATTGTGATCCTTCTTGTTGGTTTTGTTTTTGATCAGATACTTTTTAGCAAAGTACATGGCAGCTGACCAAGATAATGATATAGTGCTTTCCTTTTTACAGTTTGAAGATAAATCTGATGCGGTATTTGATATTACAGAAAAATGTAAGTATCTTTATTTATTTACATAAGGCCATAGTTTCACAAAACATTTCTTAGAAGTATCATTGCTGCTGAAAAAGACTATCCTGCCCTTCTCCTAGCCCTTGCTACTCATTCCCTCCCTGCATTGCTGTCCTGGTTTCGGCTGGGATAGAGTTAATTTTCTTCCTAGTAGCTGGTACAGTGCTGTGTTTTGGATTTAGGATGAGAATAATGTTGATAACACACCGATGTTTTAGTTGTTGCTAAGTAGTGCTTACGCTAGTCAAGGACTTTTCAGCTTCCCATGCTCCACCAACTGAGCAGGCTGGAGGTGCACAAGGAGCTGGGAGGGGGCACAGCCAGGACTGCTGACCCAAACTGGCCAAAGGGACATTCCATCCCATGGGACGTCATGCTCAGTACATAAACTGGGGGAAAGCTGGCCAGGGTGGCCGCTGCTCGGGGACTGGCTGGGCATCGGTCGGCGGGTGGTGAGCAATTGCATTGTGCATCACTTATTTTGTTTTTTGGTTTTTTTTTGTTTTTCCCCCCTTTCCTTTTCTGTCCTATTAAAGTGTCTTTATCTCAACCCATGAATCTTACTTTTGTTTTTTCCCCCCGATTCTCTCCCCCATCCCACTGCGGGGGGCAGTGAGCAACCGGCTGTGTGGTGTTTAGCTGCCTGCCAGGTTAAGCCATGACAATTGCCTTCTCCACAAGTCTTACAAATGAGATGAATTTAAGTTAATGTTTTTTCTTTCTTTGGTTAGTTTTACTCAGTTCAGCTTCTGCTTCACTGTTTGGTGAGTGGGACAGAACTGTTTATGTCAGCAATGTTTTATTGGTAATGTTGGCCCAAGAAGGCTTAGAGTATCCACGGAATTGCAGCATCAGATGGATTAGCAAAGGACACTTACACTCGTCCTTCTTTACACATAAAACTCGTGAATTTTCTGACTGTTTATGGGTTTTTTTCTCCCTAGGTGGTGAAATTCTGGATGCAGAAATGTCTGAGGACACTGACCACAACTTAACACCTGCCCTCGACAGCATATCTTACAGAATACAGAATCGAACAGGATCTGAAAACTCACTGCTGGATGACGACGATGATGATTATTTTCTGAACTCTGGGGATCTTGCAGGCATACCTGTTGTTGGGAGCGACAACGAAGATGATCAAAATTTCAAAAAACTCTTTCTTCTGTGTTTCATGATGAAGACCATCTGGAAGAGGGCAAGAGAGTTACAGAACATGAATTGGACAGTGAAAAAGAAATTCAGATTCAGAATGCAATCCAAAAGGATCTCACTTCACCATTTGAGCAGGGCCCTGTATTTAAATCAATTCGAAAAGATTTTAGCATAACAAGAGATAATGGCAAAGAGACTTTTTCAGCAAAGGACAAGAATAGAGAAGGACATTTTCAAGAACGTGAAAAACGGTTGGAAAAAATCCCTAAAGATATGGATTCTAGATTGAAAAGCAGTTTTCTTGACAAAGCAGGTAACTGTTGACATCGTAGACCTGGCTACCCAACAAAGAGGAAGAAAGAACTAGATAGAAATTAGCAATAGGGCTAGTTATTAAAAACATCATCTTGTTGAAAAGAATATGCATAGCTGTATGTAGGGAGGCATTTTACAAAGAACCCTGAAATACGGTGAACTCTGTATTAGAACTAGGATTTGCAAAAGGGCCTGGCAGCATTTGCAGGGGTCTCATCCTCCACAGCTTGTTTCAAAGCCTCAACACATCCTTTGTTGTTGTGGTTTACTAAACCAAGCTGGGTGACAATTCAGGCTTACTTTTGTTTTTTCTCACTGTTTTTTATAGACCTTGGAAATCCTCAAAAGAAAAGATGATGACGTTTAGGTTAAGTTGGTGGCCAGGAAACATTTTTTTGAGCAAAGTACCAATTCTTCATTAATGTATATGTATTTAAAGCAATATGCATTCCATAGTAGCATCATGGAAAGGCTTGCTAGAAATGTATTATTGTCTGCAGGAAGTCAGCCAGGGAGTAACTTGAGATCTGCTTGTCCTGGGAGACTGCTCTCCTTCTTCCTCAGATACCTATGTCTTGGACTTTGTCCAGCCAACATGGGGAGAACCAGAGATGCCTGTAATCCGTTTCTCATTTGAGGGAGCCTGACAGTCACCAGTAGTCTTGCAGCCCACACACCTGTTTTTGGCTTCCCAGGCTCTGAAAGTTACAGTAGAACAGTGAATGAAGGAAGAATAACCAGGCTGGAACATGCGATTTAATTTTATTCAGAAGACTGTATGGAGAGAGGGTAGGCCAGTGAGCGAGAGCCTCCTGGCTACTTGTTCAGATTCACAGCTTACAATTCTGATATTTAAACTGTGTATGTTTAGTAACAGCATCTTAAAATCAATGCTTCCAGGTTCCACAAATGATAGAGAAACAATATGGATGTTTTTAAAATAAAGAAGAGTTAAAGATGTCTCTTTACTTTTACCTTCAGGTAGAAATCAAGTGAAGAATATTTCTGTGCAAAAGATGTATTTCAGAAAATTGTAAATACCTATAATTGTAAGATTGTGGCTGAAAGCTGTGCAGCCTCAGGTAGAGTAGTCAGTAATTGAAACAGCAATAGTAAATGCTCATAGGCAGCATCCAGTATCCAGGCAAATCCAGTATTTTTAAAAAGCTAAATGCTAAAAAAGCGTAAGCTACTGTTTCCTGAGAAGGGGGGAAGAGGCAAAAGACCAGAACAGCAAAGAAAAGGATGAAAGTTGTTGCTCTGAAAAATATTGTCTGATATAAATGTCGAAACATGGCAGAGTTCAGAACTCACTGGGGTGGAGAAAATTCTGAATGAACAATTTGCCTCAGAATTTTACAACCATTTTGCTGGAATGGGAAAATAATGACCCAATAGAATAATAAAAAATGTCAATTCTCTTCAAGGATTACCATCTTACTTGCAGGGAGGAGAAAGGGAGTAGTTTAATACTTCTGAGGTGCTGTCAGACTATGGGGTTGGGGATCAGTATGAGACTCTAGATAGTTTTAAAGGAAATGCGTTGGAATCTGTATTCATTTATATTTAATGTATATGTTTTCCTCAGTTCATAATCAAGTAGAAGAAACATTACGGACGCAGTTAGCGCCACAAACTCCAGAAACTAACTTCAGGGTAAGCTATAGATCTTTCAAACACTTTTGCAAGTGCAGCGATATACTGGAATAATTCAAAATACGTATTTTGTATTTGAGTGTAAATTTGAGTATCAAGAAAACTGATCTTCTGACTCTTAGACATCTTTGCTACTTAAACAGTGCATATAATTTTGTAAAATTTTGCTGACCCTCTCTTTGGATTGAGGATTCTTTTGATAGCCACTTTCATGTTCAGCACGGTCTGACTGACTGGTGAACCGAATCTAGACCTGGATGCATCCATCTCACCTGCTGCCTTTTTTCCAGATGAGACAGGGAACAGCTGTATCAACAGGAGACACTGCCCAAACAGCCGAATGCCCCTACTGACAACCAACTTAGAGAGCTGGGTGGCTTCTGCTTTGTCCAGAGGAGTGAAAAGGATTGGGGGTGGGATGACAGGGGTGCTGCAGGGAGGTAGAGGCAGCAGCTGCTGCCCATCATTTCTCCCACCTTCCAGTGGCAGGACCCATTTCTCTTGGTCTGCAACAGAAACTCCCCTTGGCAGCAGCCCAACTCCTAATGGCAGATGCAGGAGGGTGAATTCTTTTTCATATTATTGTTTCAGGAGTCTAGCTACCTATTTTCTAGTAAGGAATCTATTGGACAAGAGCTGGGGAATTCCTTTGCACCAAATATTAGAATTAAGGAGGAGCCTTTGGATGACGAATATGATAAAGCTATGGCCCCACAGCAGGGACTATTAGACAAAATTAAAGATGAACCTGATAATTCCGAGGTAAGTTTCCCATTGCATTTCTCATTTTGGTCTGACAGCTGACCGCATAAGCTGGACGTAAATTCAGCAATTTATTTGGTTTGTTGACCGAAATTTAACTTGAAGAACATAGTTTAGTAGAAGGATTTTTCCCTCTTATACTACCATGAAACCCAACCCCCCAACTTTTTGATGTCATGTTACCATGTCACTGAAAATGTTTTGCTTTTCAGTTAGAGACAAAGCAAAGTGCTGTAAAACTTTCATTATTAAATCTGTGGCAATATAGACACTTTATATGTCTATATATAGTCTGTATATATATATACACCACTCAAGTCGGTCTCACTAGGAAATAAAATGTAAATCATGTTTTACTGAATATTTTGTGAGTTGTCACAGTTAGAGATGTGTAGTTGAAACAGTGCTATTCCTGCTACTTCCCTCTTAAAGGTTATCTTTGCGAGCACAGTGGTTCGTTGTTTGTTCTTGTTTTAAATTAACACTTAGAGGTCTTACCTTAGCAAAATATTTAAATACGTACACATCAGTGAAGTCAATTTAAGCATGTGTCAAGGTGACTTTCTCATTTGACACTGGCATTTTTTATGACGATACAGGTAAAAGTTGAATACTTGCAAAATGGAGAAAGTCTGACCTGTGGATTGAGTGGTGCTGGGGCAGGGATTGCTGAGCTCTAACCGGTCTCTTTGCCGCTGGTTTGCCGTGTGACACCAGGGAAATGATCTGTGTCGCAATTCCTGTCTCCTCACTGCTATCATTTGGGTTACATGCCAAACTTTACATGCAGTTAAAGGTGTGCAGAACTTCCCAGTGATTCATCCCACTTGCATCGACACTAGAGTGCTGGTGTTCTTGTGCAGGCATTAGTTTTTCCAGCATCTTTCTGTGTACTTCTGCTATACCTCCTCTTCCCTCTGGGCCTGTCTTCCCAACATTTTTTCTTCTTTTCCCATAATACTCTTGGCTTAATAAAATAAAGAAGTAAACGAAGTATTTGAAACTATTCAGATTTTACTGCCCTTCAATTTGTTCAGTGTCCGTGAGATTGTTTGGTTTTATTTTTCCTTAAGCGTATATAATGTCAAACCATGTGTACATTGGTTAAATCTGTCTATTCTTTTGTCCTCCCAAGATGGCATCTGCTGTGTGGATTTGTGGGGAATGCAATGCAAGATGTCTGTGGTTATCAAAGATCATATTAATAAGTAAAAGTGAAGACTTGAAGAATTTAAATATCCAATATCATATTCTTCAAAATACTAATTCCTGGAGTAAAATCCTGTAATTATCAACTCTGCCTGATACTGGAAAAATATGAGAACTGATGAAGGTGGTTCATTTTGTTTTGCTTTAGATTGGAATTAATGCGTGGGGTTTTGGTTTTTTTCATGCATCCTGAAAGATAAGAGCATTTCTTGCTGTAACCAATAGTTGGAGCTGAAGGTTCTTGGCTTTCAACACTGTTACACTGCTGTGAAACTATGCTTGATCATGCACAGTTGATGTCAGGATTTGCCTCCATTTCTCTTACTAGTATTGACTAAGGATAAAACTGCAGTTAAAATGCTTAAAAAACTGTATTTCTGCATATAACTAGTTTTTAAATTGTAATATTTAAAAAAACATGGTGCTTTAAAACCCGTCATCATGGCATGCCCATACACAGCTTAAAAGCTTCTCTTACTTGACACTTGAGTGTTTCTGTCTTATGGTTCACATGATGAAGGAATACCATTGCCTGTTCTCCTGGGAAACCTGTTGAGAAATAGTTTGATTGTCCTAGCATAGAAACTTGTAATTTTCCCACAGGCGTAAGAGAAGTGTTAAGTTTTAGCATGTATTATGTGGATGTTAGTGTGTGATTTTAGGAGGCGGCTTAAGATGAGGGAGCAGTCCACTGCCGCTGAAAAGGGAGAGCTTAATTTTGCTTAGTGATTTTGAATTGGCTTACCTTGCAGCCCGACAGCAACTGTGAATTTAGCTCAGTCATAACATGACATCATGCCCTGACTACTCTCAAGTGACTGTAAGTAGGTTAAGTCTTATCGTCTCTGTAGTTCCAAGAGATTATGCTTTTCAGCCTATTAAGATTTACATGTAGAGTGTTACAAACTGCTTTATGGTTCAGATTTCTAGGGCGAGCACGGGCAAGAAGCATGGTGTCAAAGTATGAATAGCTGCTGTGGAGTAAGCTAGTAATTTATAGTATGTCAGCTATTCCACAAGCGACTGTCTGTAGGGATTTTCTCATCCTGTAGAAAATGCGAGGTTATTCCCTTCTCCCCTATTAGACTGAAGCCAGTCTAAGTCAGGACTGTGATGGTCTGGCTCTAGTGGTGCCAGCTTTGATCTGCTGCAAAGCTTCACCTTAGGCTCCTCCAAGGTACTTAACTCATGGTTAAGTACAGAATGCTTCTCATCATCTAGGTCCCAGTCTCTATTTCATTATTATCATCTATGAATGTGACGATAGAGCTTGTTTCACAGAGTAGGGGCAAGGACTGCGGGGCACTTCTAGATGGAAAGTTTGTGTGAGTGGAAAGCAGAGATTTCTCTTAAGCTTTGTCTGGCTGAATTCTGAGGTGTCTTGGAGTGCAGCTGGGAAGGGGAATGCACCAGGCAGCTGTGCTTTTCCATTTCTACACGACACCCTCGGTTGTAGTTTGCTGTGAACCTCTGAGCAGGTTCTGTGTGTGGTGCTCATACAGCAACATCTGTAAACCTGGCCTTCGGAGCAGGCTTAGGAGACTCACTCTTGCCTTCCTGGACCTTAAGATTCAATACAGCATTATGAAAGAATGGAAATCGTGTAACCTGTTATTACATCTGTGTATTTGTTCTCCTTTTCCTTTCCCTTTGTTTTAGGAGTACGGCCAACAGCCAAAAACTCAGGAAGGGGAGCTGAAAATCAGTGCTGTATTTTCAGTCAGTGGCAGTCCTCTTGGTAAGGAATAGGCAAGACTAACTTTATTTAAATCTGTAAAATATATCACCTTTGCAAATAGTCTTGCAGGTTATTCTGCATTTCTTTTGCTATGTCTGGCCCCAGTAGAAGAAAAGAACCAGCTTGTTTTAGAGACAATGGAATTCAGAGATTGGAAAATAATTGTATTTTTGAGGCAAAGGAAAATTGAATGTGAAAGGGATGTTAAAAGTGCATTCTCAGTCTTAAGAGTAGTTGAAACAATCTACTGTGCAGAAAACCAGCACAGGGCATGTATTTATGGAGAGTTCATCTGCTATTTAATTCTCCCTTAGACCCTGACAACCCAAATGAAGTCATAAGCTTTGTGCTTGCCCCCTGCACACAAGTGCAATACATACATAACAGTTACTCTGTTTTCTCTGTGTTGTTTTTTTTTTTAGCTCCACAGCTGTCATCAGGTTTCCAGCCTGCTGTGGCATCCTCTGGCATGAGTAAAATGCTTCCTTCAGTTCCAACCACAGCTGTTCGGGTTTCCTGTTCTGGCTGTAAAAAAATCCTGCAGAAGGGGCAAACTGCGTACCAGAGGAAAGGCTCTACCCAGCTCTTCTGCTCCACACTGTGCCTCACTGGATACACTGTTCCAGCTTCTCGCCCACCAGCTTCTACCAAGAAAACCTGCTCAAGCTGCTCAAAGTAGGACAGTGTTTTAATTTGTTCTAGTAATAATTGATATTCAAGCAGATAATGAAAGGCTTCAGTTCTCTTTTTAGGCAACGTGCTGTTTCTGTAATGCCTACTTCTGTTACGCTTCTCTTCAAAAAATCGTGGCCAATGCTATTACTTGTTGATTGGTCTGTCCGCTTTCAGTTCCATTTTGTTAATGGGATTTTACATATACATAGATTTAAAAGCCTCTGTTGTGAAGTGTGTATCTTGTCTTTTTTTAATTTAAATGAGCCAAAATTTAAAAACTGTATTTCAAAAGTTACCACACTTTCCTGCCATTTTAAAATGTTGTTGCACTCTCAAAAACACTAACGAGTACGTTTTCAAAAAATATTTTATGCATTATTTCTTCTAGATGAAAACAGATTTGCTGAATCCCGTAAAATGAAATAAAACATGGGTAAACTGATATACTTGAGGCAGGATATTTCCTTACATTCTAAAAAAAAAAATTAACTTTCCAGTCTGGCTCCATTCTGTGAGCTTAGATGTCTGTAGGTTTTAGCTCTTCAAAATATGTCGCTGCTGTTGTTATTTGATGGTGGCTAAACCTTCATAAGATGTAGAGAGATTAAATGTATTAAGAATTGAGATTTTCAGGTAGCTGGGGTTTCAGCACCTAAATCAGTTACTTTCTACCTAGGCCTAGAGTGGAAAGGCAAGGTTTGCTTTTGTGAGCCTACTTGGAAAAAATTCTTTAAAAAAGAAGATCTGCATTTTCCACAGTCCTGTTGGAAACACAGGCCTGAATCTTCAGCTCTAAAAATATTTTAATTACTGATTTTTTTTTTCATTTGTATTATTATCTCCAAATTAGCAAAAGGAGACGTTTGTGACTAGCTCTTTTAAGATGTCATATTAGTATACCATAACTTGAGGCAAATAAATAACTTTGCAGACTGATTGTGCTATGGTCTGTTTATAGAGGAGAATTATCCATATTTATTATTTTTAGTTATGAAGGTTCCTTTGCAAAAGGAATACTGCTTTGTTCATCATTTCTTCAACAACAAATTTATTACTCTCGGTTTTACAAGGTCAGCTGAACTTAAACTTGAGACTTCAATTAATTATTCTTTTCACTTGCTGTCTCAGTGTGAAAAGGCCTTGTAATAAAGTTTAGCAGTCTTGGCTGTAATTTGTATTTCTTCTGTTGAAAAATGGTTTACCTCTGACAAGACAAGTGAGAAGGAGGCATCCTTCCAACTAAGAAAATTATATAGATATTTCCTCCTAGTTTTTTGACTTAAGGGCTTTGAAAGTTTTCTGTGAATGACTGTTTCAAAAGAGAGCAGAAATAAGGAGAAAGTTCAGTTTGTTAAATCCAGCAACAAATAAACAAAACTGTAGATGGGAAATAAGAGGTGGAAAGTTACAATACTAGTCAGACCATTTTGAACTGAACTAGATGATGACTAGAAATTGTGACCTTTTGTTTTTCCCCTTTTTTTTCCCCTACCCCATTATGATTGGTATTTTCATTGTTAAAGGGAATTATTCCACATATCCTGCTTTCTAAATTTTTTTTTTTTTAGTAAAGACCGTGCAAAACAGTTATCTTTTCCCAGCTCCTTTTGAAAAGATTTAGTGATAGAGCTTGATGTATTTATAGGCCACTCCTAAGTCCAGGTACAAAATGTTTCACAAAATATCTACTCGATAATTGTACTTCTTAACTATTTTCCTAATAGGAAAAGAAAAATGAAGTCAGGTACTTAGGTCAGCAAAAAGAAAAGCTTTAAATTAAATGAATCCACCCTCTTCTAGAGAATGTTTAGTCTGCAGAAAAAGAAAGGACAGCAAGTTGACATGAAACCAACATTAATTCTTTATCTCTTTGTTTGTTTGTTTTTCTTTTTTCCATAGAGACATTCTAAATCCAAAGGATGTAATCACTGCCCAGTTTGACAATACAAACTCCAGTAAGGATTTCTGCAGCCAGTCATGTCTTTCTACGTATGAACTGAAAAGGAAACCTGTTGTTACTATTCATGCTAACAGCGTTTCAACCAAGTGCAGCATGTGCCAGAAGAATGCAGTGGTAATTGCAGACTTCTTTTTCATTTGAATTTCCTGTAGATCAGGACAACTTGCTATCTCAGAGATGAACATACATATTCTTTCTATTCTTGTTATATATTCTTTCTTTTCTTCCAGATTAGACATGAAGTGAATTACCAGAATGTTGTACACAAGCTCTGCAGCGATGCCTGCTTCTCCAAGTTCCGCTCTGCTAACAACTTGACCATGAACTGCTGTGAGAATTGTGGAGGATACTGCTACAGTGGCTCTGGCCAATGTCACATGCTTCAAATAGAGGGACAGTCAAAAAAGTTCTGCAGTTCAACATGTGTGACAGCATACAAGCAGGTATATTTTGACAGAATATAAAAATATGTCTTTGATTAGATTTTGGGTGTTTTAAGAAACACCCAATTTATTAGTTGATTATTTCAGTTACTGTCTTGGTCTAAGATAACTCCTTTTGCCATTTGCTGCTTAATCTTTGCCCAAACATGTTGCTCTGTTTCCCTTACCACTGAACTGGCTACCAGAGTATTCCAGTATGAGAGAAGACACAGTGGGACTACTCAGCAGCAGCCCACTGTGACTTTTTCCAGCCTTTGAGATGCTCCCTGTTTGAGTATTCTCTATTAAATCGTAGCATTTGAATTAAGTGGAGAGGAAAAGTAATAATTAGTTGATAATTTTGATTTTAATTTTTAAAATTTAATATTTTAATTTTTATTATAATGGAGCCTTTTAAAGAGCTGAGCAGTTGAGAGAACCTTAATTTATTATAATAGCTCAATTACTTTTGACTGACTTATTTTAATGCAATTACTTTAGGAAAAATTGCCCTCTGATAAGATAAGTGTAACTTCATTTTGTGACTTGACTCTGCTGCCTCATTATTCAGGCCACTTAAGCCAAGAAAGGCCTAATGAATTAAAAAAAAAATCTGGTAAAAGTATTTCATCCAGAAAATTACCTACAGCATTAGTTGTCCTCTGAAACAAATCTGGAAATTAAATTAAATAAGCTGGAAGGGAGAGGGATTTCATGTTGCTTTTTCATCTCACATCAAAACCTCATACCTGTTAGTCTTCCTGAAAATACATTATGTTCAAAACTTACAAGTCTTACCTATTTTCTGTTGATTTTTAAACAGCATTCAACTCAATTGTCAGATACATTCTGATAGTTTCTGGGATTTTGTGGGTGAGAGAGGAACCTCCTCCTCTTAGTTGCTTTTCTCATCTGTTAAATGGGAATATTGCTTACATACATAGCTGATGTATTAAAAATCATAAGCAAAATGTTGCTTCTCAGCAAAAATGTTGAAGTCGTCTGATACAAGGTGCTTGGTACGTGCTATTACAACACATAGTGTTGTTTGCACTTGGAGGCCTTCGCCCTGACAGCCTCGCTACTGTTTAAACTGGCCCGCAAAGGTAGCGCTTACCCTGAATGAGAGACAGCCCAAGCCTCAGGTGGTCAAAGTGTGAATATAGCAAGTGTACTAGAGAACTCAAATATCTGCATGATAAGTAATACAGCTGTAAAATAAGTGCTGTTTCAAGTGCACTGGCAGTCACTTTTATACGCGTTTTATATGTTAGTGATTAATTTCCAGGTTAATAAAAATACTGTTTCACATGAATGACAGATTTCCATGTTTCCACAGAAGTCAGCTAAAATTACACCTTGCGCACTGTGTAAATCTTTGAGATCTTCAGCCGAGATGATAGAGAGCACAAATAACTTGGGAAAAACTGAACTGTTTTGCTCTGTTAACTGCTTGTCAGCATATAGAGTGAAAATGGTTACTTCTGCAGGTAACTTTATCCTTTTACTTCTTTAGAAGCATAATTTCACGTAGCTCATATCCAAACTTAATTTGTCTTGAAAGTTAAGGCCAATATTCTTTTTTTTTTGGGGGGGAGTGGGGTGGAAAGTGGCTTTTTTTTAAAGGGAGGTGCTGAGATGGGAACATAAGGACTTTCTACCACAGATAAACCTAACAGTGACAGTACAACCATTTCAGCCTTGTTTTTAGAGAGCTTAAACATAATAAACCTTAATCTATTTTCTGCTCTTGCAAGTGCAGCTGGTAGGTTTCCCAGATAGACAAATCCACTTCTGTGGACATAAACCATACCACCACTGTGACTATTCTGCCCCTTGTTCTCCAGGGTGATTAGCTTAGTTACCTCTGCCTAATGTTGCATTGAGCTAGGCAAACATATTCTCAGCTATTTTTCTTGTAAAATAGAAAAATGCTTACTGACATCCTAGGGATACTGGGAGATTAATTAAAGGATCTGGCAAGCAACAGGCACCGCAGTTGCAGTGTCTGCTTGTGAATCTGTAGAAACTTCATCTTGGGCTTCTGTGTGTACCTTGGCTTGTCATTCAGATTCTCTGTTTTTGTATGCACAGTGCAAAATTATCTGCAATACAACCTGATGTTGCATAAATCACTTTTTCTTCTCTGTTTCACCCTCAGGTGTTCAAGTTCAGTGCAACAGCTGTAAAACTTCAGCAAACCCTCAGTATCACTTGGCTATGTCAGATGGGAGCATACGCAATTTTTGCAGCTACAGTTGTGTAGTAGCTTTTCAGGTGTGACATCTAGGATTTCTTCTTAGCTGAATTAACAGAATAATAAATTGATGGTGTAAAATACCTGGGATGTCAGGTAAAATATGTAATATTGTAAAATAAAGTCTATTCCTCAATTTGCTTTCCTGCAGAATTTGTTCAACAAGCCTACAGGAATGAACTCCTCAGTGGTACCTCTGTCGCAAGGTCAAGTCATTGTAAGCATTCCCTCAGGGGCAACGGTATCGGCAGGTGGCACCACCTCGACTGTGTCCCCCAGCTCCATGAGCAGTTCAGCTGCAGCTGGTCTACAGAGGCTGGCTGCCCAGTCCCAGCAAGTCACTTTTGCCCGCCCTGTTGTAAAACTCAGGTGTCAGCACTGTAACAGATTGTTTGCAACCAAACCAGAACTGCTTGACTACAAGGTAATAAAGATTAGGGCTTTTCAAGCTCATATTTCTCAACAGAAACCCAAGAAATTGTAGCTTATATGAAATGGTCTGTCAGTACTGCTCTGTTGCTTACTGTGACCTGCTATGGAGGAATTTCGAACTGATTTTGGTATCATTTAATCATTATCAAAATTAATACTGATACTAGCTCTTTGATCTTAAAAACAGAAAAAAAAACCCTCCAAAAAACCCAAACCCTATAATTGCCTGGCTAGGTAAGCACATTCCTGATTCTTGGTCCCAGAGATGATCCTTTTAATTCCAGGACAAAGCACATTGGTGAGGGCTTTCTGCAGAAAATTGTGCTGTCTTTGTTATAAAGCTAAGTGGGGAGACTTACTCGCTAGTGCTGTCTGCTGTTGATTTCCAAGGGCATAAATATGCTTCTGAGTTTTTATTAACAATTAAAATGTATTATCTGGGATGTGAAACATTGAAACCAAAACATTCTGGCTGTGTTGCAGGGTAAAATGTTCCAGTTTTGTGGGAAGACCTGCTGTGATGAATATAAGAAGAGGAGCAGTGTGATGGCAATGTGTGAATACTGCAAAATTGAGAAAATTATCAAGGAGACAGTGCGATTCTCAGGCATAGATAAGCCATTCTGTAGTGAAGGTAAGAAACGGAAGACTGTCTCTCAGACAAATCAAGTCAGAAGTGTTTTGCCTTAAAATTATTGGTGACACTAAGAGAAACCTAATCGTTTTAGGTTAGAAAACTGTTTTTTAGGTTTAGAAACACAGAACTTTGTTCATACTTCACATTTTAATGGTATGTTTCAACAAATTATTACAGACATAATGAAATACAAGAATTAGAAGTGTCGAGCAAATGTCATTTTGATATTGAAGGATGCTTTTGTTTTCTTGCTATTTTCTCTGCTTTTAGGTTGTAAACTGCTCTATAAACATGACTTGGCTAAGCGCTGGGGAAACCACTGTAAAATGTGCAGTTACTGTTTACAGGCTTCCCCCAAACTGGTCCAGAATCACTTTGGGGGGAAAATGGAGGAATTTTGCTCAGAGGAGTGCATGTCTAAATTCACAGTTTTGTTTTACCAGGTAAGCAATATTCTCACATAGCATCCTCTAGAATATAAACGTGTTAGCAAAAGAACCGTTGTACATTAGGAGCTATGTGAACTACCTGTAGTTGACTTCTGTGTCTGTGGGATATATGACATGTATGTGAGTGATGAGTAAATCCTTCTTAACTTTTGAGTACCAGTTTTCTGTATAGAGAAAACCTGATATGGGTTGTGGGAAGACAGACACTGAGTGTTCTGCTGCTTTGTGTTACACTGCAAAAATGATGCACTCTTACAGATTTCTTTACATTATATTTGCTGAGCAGGGTGCAAAGAGGTTTTTATACACATACTCTTTGTTGCTGTTTACAAGTGTGTTTAATTTCTCCCTCACTCTGTTTTCCTAGATGGCAAAGTGTGATGGTTGTAAGAGACAAGGTAAACTCAGTGAGTCCATGAAATGGCAAGGGGAGATCAAGCATTTTTGCAATCTGCTTTGTATTCTGTTGTTCTGTAATCAGCAAAATGTTTCTGACCCTCCACCCCCAAACAACACAGGTAAAACAGGCTGGGAATAGTATTGCTTTTTGGTGTGCATGATAGTGATATGAACATCTATTTGGAAACTCGATTCAGTGAACTTTTTGAGATATATCCTCTACTGGGCGCCTTGTCCATTGCCATTGAATGGGCTCAGTTTTAGATCTCTATCTTCATACAATTTCAAACTTCTGCAGGTATGAAATGAGATTGCTTCGTATACCAAACCTAGATTGTGATTTTAAAGAAGATGAAAGAAAAGCACTTACTTTTCAATCACTTTCATAAAACAAAGGCCCATTTTATTAGGGTAAAATATACTGATATCTATTGAAGACATGTTAAATACCTAGCTTGTCTCTGTACTTGATAAGACATAGCTAGATACAGTAGAATGTTAATGTTCATTTAACAAACAAAATCAAGTGGTGAAATTAGTAGACTTAATGGTTGTAAATACAGACTTCCATATATGAACTTAAAATAGCCAGTTCTTTGTAGTCTGTAGGCATATGAAGAGTTACCATTTCTATGTCATTAAGTGTTGATTCTTAAAGTATCAATGCCAAGATTAATGTGTGCTGTAGCTGTTTCATTGCTCATTATTTCAGCAGATGGAATGGGAAGGAGGGTGGGAATGAAGCCCACAGGAATAGGAACTGTGAGTTTCTGTAGGGAATGAAATGCAAAGGGAAGAAAGGAAGAAAGGCCCACAAAGACAGGAAGAGGAAGCGAAACAAAGGGCAGAAATAGCACTGATCCTAAAGAGGTGCATAATCTCCCACTGAGTGATGGTGACTGCAACAGTAAGGTACCCAACAAGCAATAAAGAATATTAACTGAAAGTTTATAGTAGGCACCAGGCCATATTCAGCTCTTCAACTTTGTGCACATCTGCTGCTTATATTGGTGGGAGCTGTTTTCCCTGATTAAGAGAAATAATAAGTAACTTTATACTTTCAGGCCATAACTATACCATGTGACCTTCCTGGTCTTGTCAGTACATTTGGCTGTTAGTAAGGATAGCAAAATGTATGGTGGGCCTGCTTCTCCCGAAGTCTGCCTGCAACTTCAGCTGAGGCCAGTGTGCAGTGCCTTTGCAAAACTGGTCTCCAGGCACCTCTCTGAACTGGGGGCTGCCAGGATAATGGAGTGCCTCAGAACAGTATTTTTTGATGAAATGTGGTAATTCATGGTAATGCGGTAACGAATGGTGCTTTCAAATGGAAAGAACCTAAGAATTCCTCTAACTGTGAGAGCCTCATAAAATTCACCTCATTCATTATTTGTCAGGATCTCAACTGTCTCCTATACTATGTATATTCGGTACCAGTCACAGTGAGGCATCCAGTCCTCTTATCTCCCTAGTGCTGCTGTAATACACATACTATTACAAAGAGAAAGCTGCTTTCATACTATGGTGAACTTCTGAAATGTTTCAGTGACTGGAGAACAGCTTAAGTTTGCTTGTGGAACCAGCTCCTATTTAAACTGAAACACTGCAGTTTGACACCTACATTCCCTTCTCATACAGCAGGCTTTTTCATTTGGAGATAAATGTGGAGGGTGGGTGTTGTTTCAGAAATGCTGTTTTATAAATTATCTTACTGCTTATTTTAGTTTTCTTCTGTTCACTCTGTGCAGCAAACCTTTCTATGGCACCAGCTTCCTCATCAGGCCCTCCTTCTTTGAGAAAGGACTCAACCCCTGTCATAGCAAATGTGGTGTCCCTTGCAAGCACCCCTGCAGCCCAGCCTACAGTTAACTCCAACAATGTTTTACAGGGTAAGACTGCTGAATATGATGCCTGTATTTTTAAATCTCTATTCCTGAACATTTAATTTGTTCAGGGATCTTTGCTGAGGACAACAGCCACTTCTTCATTATGCTTCACATCAGTGTATATGGTTACAGTTTTGTCCTTCCTTTACCTAGGTATAAATAATGACTTAAATTTACGTACATACACCAAGGAATGAGGTTTAATGGGAGTTCTTTTTCTTGACCTTGGCAGAGTATGGGTTATGGTCCTTGATGATAAGTACACAGGCTATTGTATGTTTTTTCTTCACAGGTGCAGTCCCTACTGTGACAGCAAAAATAATAGGAGATGTAAGTTTTACAAGAGACTCTTTTTCTCACTTTCGCCCAGATTGTATCAATAACAAGTAAAGTATCCAAGAATTTTGCATCGTCCTTTTGTAACTGCTTTTCCTGGTTGTGATTGGGATTTAAAATTCATGCAGCTTGCAGATGCTTTTTTTTAAAATGGATAGAACTTGTATGGTATAAAAGTCTTTTTGTGTCCACTGACAGATTGATTAGATATTTTAAGACAAAGCTTGTCAAATTGTAGCTCATGAGATGGCTGTAGTTCTCAAGCAACTCATGTGTGGCTTCTGAACTTGAGGCTACCTTTTGTGCCCAGAAGTGGGATGTGATGTCAAAAGGACTAGCATGGGAGGAAGGGGACCAGCGTGGGCTGCCGGGGCTGCCATGACCACGCTCTTGCAGCTTAGCTTTCCTTCCCCACTCCCTAGTAGTGTGGTAATGGAGCTGTGGGGAACCATTGTCACCGCTTATCTCTGAATAACTCCTAAAGTTCCTATTCTTGAGCTCTTTGAGGTATGTGGTATACATCTTGCAACTCTCTTAAAATACGAAGATTTTATTATGTAGCTCTTAGGTTCTGGAAGACTGACGCCCTTGCTTTTAGCTGAAGTGTCATTTATGGATTAGAGTATGAATTTTCCCTAATGAAACAGATCCTGTTATTTGAATGCATGACTGAAAAATTACAGTTAGCAGGACATGAAATTAGTACAAGCACGAATAGTCAAGTCTGTGTGTAATCAGGAAGTGATACTGATACTGCCAGCATTTGTGTTCATTTTTTACTTTTATTTCTTTTCAGTGATTTCACATCCGTTTACTAAGTGTTTTGGGTATCTGTATCAGCCAGACTTTTAGTCATCAAAAGTGTCTTAAACGCCTCTTTATATCTTTGCCATCAGTAAGATTCCAGTGTCAAAAGTTTAGAGGTTATTTGACTACAGAAACCAAACATTCTTGCAAATTTGTTCACTGCACTGTTAACAAAAAAAAAAAAAAGAAGCCTATTGTTTCATTAAAATAAATCTGGTGAAGACCAGAAAGCACCAAATACATTAGCAAGCTGGTTTTGCAATAGTTCTTAAATGATCATTTTTATCAGCAAGGACAGTTTTAAATCGTTCAACCTCCCATAGTAGAGAACAAATACTAATCTTACGATATCCTTCAAACCTATACTGACTCTGCCCTTGTTTATATTTTTCCAAACAGGCTAGTACTCAGACAGATGCCCTAAAGCTACCACCATCACAACCACCTAGGCTTCTAAAAAACAAAGCATTATTGTGCAAGCCGATCACACAGACTAAGGCCACCTCATGCAAACCTCACACACAAAACAAAGAATGCCAGACAGGTATGTATCTAATCTCCTACCCATTTTATAAAAGTCTTTGTTGCAGTTGAGAGAGTAATGCATGATTTATGTAACAGCGAATACTTTTTAACATATTTTAAAACCTTAAATAGTTTTCAGATTGTCGTATGGTATTTTCCAAGTAGCAGTTTGCCTTACATGTGTAAAACATTTGTTATTCTTTGAAATCCTTAAAGCTTCATATGTGATGAATCTTGAGATTTGCTTTAACTCATCTTTAGCGTTCTGCGATCATCTTAACTGTGGAAAAGGAAGTGCAATAATTAAGTGACATGCAAAAGGCAACAGAGGGAACTCGTTTTCCTCAGGACAGAATTTGTGAGTTTTTAGCTCTCACAGCACAAGCCACAGGAGCAGACTCATTTTAATAAAGTGCATGATTTCTCAAAGATTGTTTCTGCTCTCACTTTCCTTTAATTATTAGATACAGATACTAAGAACCACTGAAAATTAAGTCCCTACTTCTAAGATAATTTCATTAGATTCATATTTGCTCTAAGCTCCCTCTGTGGGCAGGAAGAAATAGAAACACCTTCAAAGGCTATTACATAGTCCAGACTGTCATTGAGGAGCGGTTTTTTCATCATTGTTACTATAGAAGAAGGGTATCTAGTGTTGAAACCTCTTAATGAGGAAGGTGAAGTTAAGTGGGAAGATTGTTGTTAGTTTTTTAATGGTACCTTCTTATAGTCTTGTAGTTACTTGTGAGATAATTGCAATAACACACCATTTGTGGGGATGTATTTAATACTTATTTCCACTCTTCCCTTCCAGCATTCATGTATATGGTCACAGTGCTGCTTATTTCCAAACTGTAGTATTAATACTTGTTACAACAATGCTAAAGTGAAAGATGGCTACGAACCAAGACGTGGTACTGTGCACACTGAGTTACAAGCAGAAGTCCAAACAATTATCATGGACACTGTGGAGTGTAGTGGATAGTCATATGGTTAAACAATTTCTGGTTTATTCTATTTTTGATAGAAGAAGAAGAAGAAGAAGTTCAACCCCAGATCATTGTGGTACCTGTTCCTGTACCAGTGTTTGTGCCAGTGCCCCTTCACCTCTACACTCAGTACACACCAGTTCCACTTGGGATGCCAGTACCTGTAAGTTATACTTCAGTTCACTAGAGAATTCGTTTACAGTCTTGGTTCTGAAGAGGGCGCAGAGCAGTGTCGTTGGGTTTTGTGACTAGTCATGCCAGTGGTATTTGGAGTCCTTGAAGCCATTTCTTTCCTTATTGGATCAGATTTGGTTAAGCATCATCACACAAAACTACTGATTTGTAGGGTTATTGCAGAAGTGAAACAAGTTGTCCAGTCTGGAGTTATTTTTAAATTAAATTTAGCAGTCCTAAAATATATGGAAGATTAAATGAGAGGAATCTGCCTTATGTATTTGCTGTTTCCCTTCACCCCCAAACATGCTCTAATATTTTCTGCGTGTTCCATAGGTACCAGTTCCCATGCTCTTCCCGACTACCCTGGATAATGCTGATAAGATCATTGAAACTATTCAGGATATCAAGGAAAAGATTCCCACAAATCCATTTGAAGCTGATCTCCTTCAGATGGCAGAAATGATTGCAGAAGATGAGGAGAAAGAAAAAACACACTCTCATGGTGGTATGTGGTGTTTTTAAAAAGGAAACTAAATGCAGTGAGATGAAGGTCCTCTCATCACGGCAAATAGATAGAGAAATAGATGTAGGGCCTATATTGGCTGCTTCCCAAGTATGCATGCCAGGTTAAATGGTCCTTTTGTCTTACCGACATTTATTTTCCACAATGCAAGTGTTCATGCAGGTAAAGTGCCAACCTAGACAGGGTTATAATGTTTATGTCATGTCTTAGCAATTTTGATGGCTTATTCTTTTAAAATCAGGAGGCCCTGGGGGAATTCAGCTGAACTGTATATTTGGAGAGAATTTTGTCTCTGTGTACAATATTCTGTTCTTTGTTTTGAAAACATGTTTTCTTTTAAGGTTAGTTTACTCTTCCTCTATAGTTCTCATCTCGGGTGCTGGTTATACTTGCACCTCTCTGAAGTTTTTGTAATTTCACAGGGGTTTATCAGTCAATATTCAGTAGAGCTATGCTTAGCATAGAACCCATGTTAGATACAGAGCACTGACAGTGGTTTAAATGTCTTTGCATTCCCTTTCCCTGATCCTAGGTGCTGATTTGACTTTTGTTGACAGTAACAGATTGCTAGAGGTAGTAATCTCCAGATCAGTACATCATGCATTAGCAGAAGGAGTCAAAATCAAGAAGACAGAGCAGCTGCTTTACAAGAATATTTTCCTATCAGGCTTTTTATGGTGGATTCTTGGAGGGTGATGCAGGTTAGAATGTGTTGGATAGTGATCGTCCCATGTAATAAAAGTGGAACAAGCTGAAAAGAAATGAACAAAATATCTTACTTGTCTACAGATGACTCAAATAACAAACATGGAGGGATGGAAACGTTTGGAAAAGCAAACATGGGTTAGTTCTGCATTTCTGTTTCTCCCATAACAGCATGACCAAGGTAGAAAGCTGTTAGGAGAAGTCTAGTGGAGAAGATGCATCATGTGTGTTAGTATTATGACCTAATACATGTTTTTTTGGTGTTCAAAGTATTTTGTATTAGTTATGTAAGCTGTCAGTCATTTGTAGATACAGATTTTCTTCTTTTTCTAAAGGATCTCAAACATCTGAGCATGAGCTCTTCCTGGACCCCAAGATATTTGAGAAAGGTCAGTTGGATTTTTTATTTGCAAATGGATTTGGATCCTGCTGTACATTTTCTTGCAAAATCCGCTTTCTGTCTGCCCTTTCCTATAGCACACGGTATATTTGATCACTCTCATTACAGACCAAGGTAGCACTTATAGTGGAGATCTAGAATCTGAAGCAGTGTCCACTCCACACAGCTGGGAGGATGAGTTAAATCACTATGCCTTACGATCAAATGCCCTGCCAGAACCAGATCCAGAACTGAAGCAGTTCTCCAAAGGTGACGTGGAACAGGACCTGGAGGCAGATTTTCCATCAGGTCTGTATAAGAAAAATGCATTGTTGTATAAAAGTATGCACCATTTTTTGAGTAAGCATTGTACCAGCAGTCTGCTTATGAAGGGTATATGTTTTCATTTAGTAAAACTGGATATTTAAAGCTGCAGTAATATATCAGCTCTGCTATTTTAAAAATATTACTGCTATCGTTAAAGACAGCATTCTACAGAACCCCCGACAGGAGTGGCAGGTAGTCTTGCTTGACTGCTTTGAATCTGTCACTTCTGCGTCCCTAGGTATAATCCATGTGAGTGGCACAGAAGAATATAAGTTTGCCTGAATAAGTATACCCACTGTTTGCGGGGGGGGGCTTTTTTCCTCTTCTGAGAATTTACTTTCTTTATACAGAAGGTACATATATTGCCTAATTATTCAAAGGTAAAGCATTCTTTGAATATACAGGTGTGATTGCCAACTACAAGGTATTCCATAGTATCTAAGTGACACTTCTACCTGGGCTGTTAAATCATATAATTAAACTCTTAACGGTGTTGATTTGACTTCAGACTCATTTGACCCTCTCAGTAAAGGACTGGGTTTGCACTCACGTTCACGAGCAAGACGGAGACATAGAGATGGCTTCCCACAGCCAAAAAGACGGGTAAGAAAGTACTTCTGGAACACAAGTTCCTTGCATTTGAAGTAATAACGTTATGTGCATGCTTGTTCTCAGAAGTGAAAAAATACCGCTCCAGGGTGAAAATGAGAATTCGATTTAACTACGCTGTGTATTTTTTCCTGTTCTGCTGTATAAGATTTCCTTTCCTCCCCCTCTGCAACTAGGTAGAATAAATGCTCTTTTTAGTGCAGAACATTTTTTTAAATGTGTATCGTTTCAAAAAACTCCAAAAGAGATGTCTTTTAAGTAGTGTCATAAGGTACAGGGAAGAATAATTTTTTTCTTGTGTAGCTAAAGAGGAATATATTTCTGTGCATATTGATCACAATGAGAATTATTGTATTTTATTGCACCTTTTCTGTAAAATGTGGTTAATATTTGTCCACATATTAAAAATACATATATATTCACTCAGACTCTGTCATGAGAGTAGGATTTTGTTATCATGTCAGCATAATGGCCTTTTTATGTGGGATCAAGTTAAGCATCCATAGATGAAGAGCTTATTAAATGTTTTGATTTGTTTGTTTGCCTGTAGGGACGGAAGAAGTCTGTAGTTTCTGTAGAGCCCCGGAATCTGATGCAGGGCTCCTACCCAGGATGCTCTGTTTCTGGGATGACCCTAAAGTATATGTATGGGGTAAATGCCTGGAAAAACTGGGTCCAATGGAAAAACGCACAGGAGGAACAAGGGGACCTGAAGTTTTCAGGTGAATTTTTCTCTCTCAGTGGAAACAGAAATAGTTTGAAGTTGAAGAGCACTTGGCATGATATGTTATTCAAATAAAAATTAGGATTAGATATTACTGAGTTTTAAAATATCCATGAGTGGAGAAAAGATTTTATGGAATACTGTCTTGCGTCTTTTCATGCATTTAAAAATCATAGCTATTACATTCTTAATTTATCTGTTACCTATTAAAACAGGCTCTAAAATACCAGATTTCTTTTCAACGTTAGAAATGTTAGTCTTTTAACCTCCACTTTGCATTTATTTGCATGTGGTAATTCTTCATTTGTAGAAGAGATGCTTTATGCAGCTGCAGAGCTTTACTGAGCTATTATCAGGCCATAATTCTAAGTTGACAGCACCGACTTGGCCCCATCTTTTTCATCTGTAGCTAATGCATTCACAAAGTATTTGTCAGCATAACTGTTTGCCGTAAAAAAATTGTGTGCTTCAACATTAAAATCTTAACACCTCATTTCTAGGCTTCACAGCTGGGAAGAAGCTTTCCAAAAATCTACCCATTCTGTACTGCACCCTGCCTGAAACTAACTTTAAAAGGCATGAATTGTTCCCTGTGTCTCACTAGGGCAATAGATAATAATGACAATATAAATGTCACTTTTGTTTATTTTTCTAATTATGGATTTTATTTTTTTTTTTTTACAAAAGCACAGCAGTCCTGGGAGTTGGCAGTGTCTAACTCCCCTTTTCCCTGGTCTCAAATCTGTCTTACATGCTTGCACTGAGAGTTTTGTGGGCAAATTTTCAGAGTCAAGCAGAGAATTTAAGTTAGGAATATAATTGAGCTTTTTGGAGATGGTGGGGAAGAGAGCAAACCATATTAAATACTTCTGCAATGTAAAGAACTAAGCGTGGCAGGGCTTATATAAGAAAGATCCCAAAGGGAAAATTCTAGTTAGAACGTGATCTGCTTTTTCCTCTCTTATTTGGAATTTTTGTTGTCATTACATGAGAACAGCTGGTTTTTGTTTCCCAGAAGAAGAGTGATCACATGAGTTACTGTGTTTTCTTCTTGTGGCTAAGGAAGCAAATATTACAGTCAGTTCCAGGAAACTGAGTCCACCCCCACCCCTTCCAGAAAGGTTCCCTGCTTGGTCCCAAGCAGGCGCTTTTGTAAGGTGTGGAGCAGCCAAAGCCTGGTAATTTCATTGCGGATCCTTTGATCGATTGATTCCCTGGTAGCTCTGCTTCCCTTTCCGAATCCCATGCATGTCCCTTTAAACTCTTCATCCCTTCTCCCTTTAAGGAGATGAATATGCTGCACTCAACTCATGTCCAGAACTATTAGGAAATACTCAAGATCTTTCTCTTACTCAGGATTCCCCTGCGTCCAGCTATAGAGGTGAAACCTATTTATCAACCCTACGCTGCCAGCCTTGAGTACATGCAACCATTGCCATGCCACATCTTCGGATTCAGCAGACTCCCTAACATTTAGATGTCTTAGCTTTAAATACCTGCAGCCTTATTACTCAGTGGCAGCATTTGTACTGGTTGCACATGCAGGTGGTTTGTTTTTTATTGGCCAAATCCTCATTTAATTGTTAGCCAACAGATAGGAAATAGTTCACAGGTTTAGACATACAGGGTACTTCATGTATGAGATAGAAGATTTAATAGTTCTGCCTACGTGAAATAATAAGGAATGTGTGAAGATTTAATCTGTTGAATTAAGTTATTTTTTCTAATGTTTTTCTTGGCCGTAGTTCGTCCTGTGAAACTCAAGGAGGACATTCTCTCATGCACTTTTGCTGAGCTGAGTTTTGGCTTGTGCCAGTTTATTCAAGAGGTGCGGAGACCAAATGGAGAAAAATATGATCCTGACAGCATCTTATACTTGTGCCTTGGAATTCAGCAGGTAAGTCAGAATTAGGGTATTGCTGAGAACATACAAAACTTGCTCTGGTTATTTATGCTTGTATCCATAGTCCCATGTAGCTGCTTGGTTTTTGTAGAGGAGGCAAGAGTGTATCTTTTTTGTGCTTTATTCTTAGTCTGTCTTAATCCCATATTTGCCTAATTTGTCTGGACCTTTTTATGATCAGAGTGAACAGGCTTCTTCTGTACTTGGGAGGAATGTGGCGTGGAGGGCTAGGTGTTTCTACCTAGACACAAATCTTTGGGTTTGGTACCTTTTTGGTCCTTTTTCATGTATAGGAAAGATTTGCTCCTCAGAAATATTTGCGTTATGATGGAATGTTTCAGATCTAAAACAGTTGCACAATGCTCTTCTAATATACAAGTTCACATGGAAGAGGTTACCCAGCTAAGACTGATGAGCTCCTTCAGTGGCTAGGCAGATACCTGTTGTGTTGGCAATATTTACAGAAAAAATACAATGGGAATAATAGCATTGTAATTAATGAATGCTAAGAGTAATTTACTAAGTCCTTGCTACCTGCCTTGCTACCTGCCTTGAAACAGTTGCAGTACAAACCTAAGTGTAATACTAACTTCTGTTTAAAACTCAATGTTCAGTATATTTCTGTTAGGGGCTTTTTTTTAGAATAGCCTGCTTGTTCCTTTCCTTGAACAGTCATTTGGAGGTAAGGAGTCAAAAGCTACTTCTAATGTAAAACCTATCATTTGACTAGGCATGGAATTATCTTAATCTTTTTTTCCTGGCTATGCTTGAAAAAAATGTAGAAAGAGTTAAAATTCAAAGTGCCATTGATAAGGTCTAGGACTATTAGCAATTTTTGTGTGTTCCAGTTTTGACTTATTTATTGATGCACACTCCTGACTTGTAGAAAACTTTTTTTAACTGCTGCTTGACAAGAGTTTAAGGGACTTTCACCTTGATGCTGTAAGTCGAGCTATTTCAGCAGCCTAGCACTGGGCCTATATCTATTGTCAGGAGGTATTAGCATGTGAAGTTCTTTTCAACAGAAAAATACTCAATAACTCTTCTGTTTTTTATAGGCAGACTTTTTTTAAGAATATCTAACACTTAGAGGATGATGATTTTTCAGAAAACAGCTCTGGAGCTTGGAATATTAACAATAATTCTTGCCTAGATCTCTCATTTCATACTGGGGAGGTCCCAGTCCCTGCAGAAAATTTGATTTGATATCTTACTGAATATTTCAAAAAAGTGTTTTGGACCATAAGAGACTGGGACATAAGAAAGGAAAAGTATCTGATGTCCTGTATCTTCTCTGCAATGTTATATAATCACAAACTGTATGTCTTCCTTTTTTTCTCTTGTAGTACCTGTTTGAGAATGGTAGAATAGATAACATTTTTACCGAGCCCTATTCCAGGTTTATGATTGAACTTACAAAACTTTTGAAAATCTGGGAACCTACAATTCTTCCAAATGGTAGGACAATTATTTTGTTTTGTGTAGCTGCATGACAAAGCCATATTATAAATTACTATTTTCTCAATGCCATGAAGAAGAATGTGATCTGAGGCATTCACATTAGTCTCCTCTTTCTCCACCACGTAATTGTTTGTGGTAGACTAGCATCATGGATTTTATGTCTGTCTTTACCAGTTACGGATTACACTTAAATATACCTTTGCCTCTGATCAATCTCTCAACTCCTTTGAAAGAAGGGCTTCCCATTCCTGTAGTCAACATGCTAGTTCTTCTCTTCCCTCAAGTTTTAGCTAATCTTTTTTGAATACAGGTAGCCAGAATTGTATGTAGTATTGGAGATGAGTTACTGCAAGTACAGTTGCACTGGTATTTCCCTATTAGTGCTGGAAATATTCTTTCTGATAAATCCAGGGATCGCATTAGCAAATCATTGGAATCTTGTCTCGACTCCTCAATTCCAAGTTCTTCTCACCTCAGTCACTTCCAAATTAAGAGTTCCCAAATTCTGCAGCTATTTTTAATTGGTCTTCAAGTATGATCATGCAGTTTATAAAGCTGGACACCAGCCGTATTAGTACATAAGATCTTTTTCAGAGTATCAACGAAACTTGAGTGATGTTGGCAGCTCCATATGTGGATCCACGACTGGCTTTTCATTTAGAAAACAAACTTTTTCTTTAATACAGAAATAACCCAATTACTTATAGACTGCTGTGTACAGTGATGGTTTTTTTTCCGCAACAAATCTCTTGCAAGCCCCCATATCTCCTTTCCCTAACTGACTTACAGTAAGCACAATGGGCTATTTGTAGGTAAAGATGGTACATTTTAAACGCATGCTCCATGTCTTAGGAATTACACATTTTTGCAGTTGGTTGGCTGTGGTTTGATACAGTGAAATTAGAACTTACTGAGATTCTGCTGGTGTCTGCAACCTTCTTTTATATCGTTCTCTCCATTCTTCAGGTATTGGAAGATCATGCTGTTCCACAGCTTGATTCTCCATGCTCCCTCTTATGTTCGTGCATGCAGTGTTCTTGGTTTTATTGGAATTACAGTTTCTTATGATAGGTCTGAATTCGATCTAATATGCAGTTCATTAATACAGAAGGATAGCTGAAAGAGAACTCACATGCATCTCTGGCAAAATCTGCCTACTTAATTGTACTCATTTCTGCCCTCCCACCCTGCTCATGTATGATGCTTTCATTGCTTTGGGAAAATTCTGAAAATCTGCTAGATTAGTCACAGCCTGTAAAAGCTGTTCATTTGTAACTGAATATGGGGACAGCCCTAAAATTGCATAAATAACCTTCTTCTTTTTTCTTTGCCCATTGTTTCTAGGTTATATGTTCTCAAGAATTGAAGAGGAACACTTGTGGGAATGTAAACAGCTGGGTGCATATTCCCCTATCGTTTTATTGAACACACTTCTGTTCTTCAACACCAAATACTTCCAACTAAAGAATGTCAGTGAGCACCTGAAACTATCCTTTGCCCATGTTATGAGACGCACCCGAACTCTGAAGTATAATACTAAGATGACATATTTACGTTTTTTCCCACCCTTTCAAAAACAAGAGGCAGAATCAGGTAAGTGAGTGCTTTCTGATCATCTGAATTTTGGCAATCATATTTGTATTGTCTGTTCCTTTTTTTAAAAAGGACTGAGGAGAAAAATATGTTATGCAGTAAGCAGAGCTATGAGTAGTTTGACTTCTGCTGTTATCCTGTACATCTTCAAAATTTTTTTACTCTAGTAAGGTTTAAAGAGAAATTCTGCATGAGCCAAGGCATCCAGTAAAAACTTACGAAAGAGGTGCCACACATTTGGCTGCAAATTTGTTTAATAGTCTTCTGTAACATCCTAGGCTTGCATAAAGCTTTATTAACTACTGCATGACTTAAAGGCCTTTTCCGAAGTCCTTTTCTCAGGACTTCATATTCTTGAGGTCCAGACCCTTATTGTGCCCTTTTAATTCCCAGATTTATTCTAGGTCTGTGGTGGATAAACAAGGCAGCCCAAATGGAGAGCAGCAGTTTAGATGAAGCTAGGAGCTTGCACATGAGTAGGGACTACCCTCTTGACCTCAGAGGCAAAGAAATAGAGATTTTTGTTTGCAGTTAATTTTTGGTATTTGGAAAAGGGAAGTCTTTGATTCTATTGGCTTCTTCAGTTAATAGTTCCAGTGTGTTACATGAATTCTGCTTTATTAAGAAAAATTATATCGTCCATATTTTTCTGCTAGATACTAGTTCGTGTTGATTTTCTAGAAGAGGAATGGGCTGTGGACAGCCTGTAGCATATGCAATCTTTTGCCCAGCCAGCAGATCAAACCAGTTGACTTTCTTGTAACTCATAGTCCGTTCAAGCAGTGTGTTTCTGTGTGATGCAAAGTCCCATCGCTAGGTGCTAGGCTAAGTAACCAGAGCTTATTCTTGAAGGCGCTGTTTTTCACTGAACTTCTGTGATGCCATTTTTGTGTATCCAGATAAATTATCTGTAGGCAAAAGGAAACGCAGTGAAGATGAAGAGATTCCAACAGCAGTGGAAATGGCTGAAAATACAGATAATCCCCTGCGATGTCCAGTCCGACTTTATGAATTTTACTTATCAAAATGGTAAGTGACAGAAGTTGATTTTTGATCTGTATGTAGACTAGAACAGGCATTTGGGCAAGGATGCCACTCAGACCTTTCGTGCCTGTGCTGTGGGCTCCTTTCTCCAATTCCTAATCCCCCAGTGGGAATGGAACCATGCTGATAGGACTCCCAGCATCAGTGATGCTGTTAGACTCGGCAAATAGGTAGTATTTGTTACTGGTGTTGAGTCTAGAGTAGAGTTACAGAGAGAGATGTATTCTTTAAATGTCTGTTTACACATCCACAGGGTGTAAATGTAAATGGGGGGCGTTACTACAGTGACCGTGGCATTCTCATCTCCCTTAATTCCCACACAGGAGCCTTCTTTTGAGAAGCTTATAACTAATATCCTGACATCATGTTCCTTGGGAAAGAGCGTAGGAAAAGTGTGAATTAGGTAAAACTGCTGCTAGCTTTTGCCTGCTGAAATGTGAGATTAATTTTTATTTAGGAGTTAGAAAGGAGACTATATAGCAAGGACATAGATACAAATCATTTTGTCTATCCTGTTTCTATATAAACTTTAGTTAGATCATTGAGCAGGTGGAATATGATGTTCTCTTTTCAAAGAAAATACACATGCAAAATGAAATAGCATCTCATTAGTGTCAGCTAAAACTCAAATAAATCACCCTCAAAAATGCACCTACTGAGCTTACTACAAATAGTCCCATTACTTAGGCAAAGGCGTGCCTAGCAGCTGTCCTGACTCTTTGTCTCCCTCTTCTTACCTTCCTTGTATTCACTTGCATATCATTAGAAGCTTTTAGCTGTCCTTGGGCTGGGAAAACATTTTCATGCTCCTCATCATACATCATAGCTGAACCCCTGCAGTGGTGCAAGCAGCAGTAAAAATTCACTTTGCTGTTTTAATGTGAATATTCCAAAGTCAGGCAGGTGGGATCCTTGCTCTAGAGGACTTTGTGTCTTCCTACCAGAGCCTGAAAGCTGCCTCAGAGTCAGACAGTCAGCCTTTCAAGCAGATGGGCTTACCATTCTGCACCATGAGCAGGCAGGCTAGGATTTAGTTTTGCTAGGTCTTGAACATTCCCTGTGCCAAAGTCCACAGCAATTCTGGAATACTAGAACCAGTTTCATTCAGAGATTGAATGTCAAATGCATCTATTAATCATATCAAGATGCTAGTACCATTAACTGGATGATACTATGATTGAAGAACCACATCTGTAAAGGAGTCACTAATTTTCTTTGTTTCTTTATAAGCAACTAATGCTAAGTGACCTGGAAACAACTTAACTGTTCCCTAAGTTGAAGGGGGGAAACCAAGTCACTAACAGCAAGATTTTAATTATGCTGTTTAAATTACAGTGTTGTTGTCTCAATGTAACTTTCATTTTCTTCACTGTTTCTCCTGAACGTTTTTGTGAGTAGTATTGTTAGTGCTGCCTTCCAATAATGTGCTCTTCCTTTCTTTACGTTGACAGTTCTGAAAGCGTGAAGCAGAGAAGTGATGTATTTTACCTTCAACCTGAGCGCTCCTGTGTACCCAATAGCCCCATGTGGTATTCCACATTGCCAATAGACCCAGGAACCTTGGACATCATGTTAACACGTATTCTTATGGTGAGGGAGGTACACGAAGAACTTGCCAAAGTCAAATCAGAGGACTCTGATATTGAGTTATCAGACTAACTGAAGTGGGGTATTTTCCTTTGAATACACATCAGAAGCACCAAACTGTGAATACGTCCAGCCTTTGGAAAATGTGTATCAAATAAGCCAAGATAATGTCACCTACAGGCATATTTTGAACCACAGTGGATGTACAAACTGGAACTGGAAGGAAGCAAGCTGTGTAAGCTGCAAGAAACAACATCCTGTGGCACCGATAAATCCTCTGAACAAATTCAAGATGAACTAACCCATTTGAGTGGTGCATAAATCCTTTATCTGTTTAGGATTTTAAAAAGTTGTGAGATATTTTTAAGGAAAATGGTTGTGTAAAATCCACCATAACAATGTTGGGCATGGAGAGCTAGACTGTGGCTCACGTGACTTCTCAGCCTGATGGCTGGCAGTCCTTGCTGCCAAAGAACACGTGGAGATCCTAGAGCTCTTCACGAGGACAGGAGAGAAAGTGGTGATATTTAGACAAACGGACACCTTCCGTTATAAATACATGTACACACATGCTTTTATAATTTTTTTGAAACTGGGATCAAATGTTAGGAAGGCAGAAGCCACTGGCATGTCTGCCAGGGAAGCTATCTAAATGGACAACTGTCTGGCTGCTATTAAATGGTCACACGATGCCAGAATCTAGCTCTCAGTCCAGGCTAATACCAGCTCTAGCTCTCTTGAGTCTTCGACGTGGAAGAGGTGCTGTAGGTCGAACTTCAGAGCGATCATGTTACGGGACGAACATTTCTGGGGTATGTACAGGAGAGTGACTGTCCTGGGGTATGTGCAGAAAATCCCTTACCTAGCCCAGTAGCTCTGCAGTCTGTCGATATAATCTAGCAAATACTGTGGTGCGCGGAAATTTTTTTTCCCTTAAGGCAGCTTTTCTTTCTTC